CAACTTTCCATCTAGCGCGGTCGGTTTGTCTTCGCCTTCCTCTTGTAGTTTCCTCCGCGCAGTCCACGCTGTCACGGTACGCGGGACGGAACGAGTTGTCATCGGAGGGGCGTCTTGCCCGGGTCGGTGTAGTGCAATATGTAGCATAAACACCCCCAGACGACTGGAGGTGTATGCGCAGTTCGACCTGTAGACCCCGGATCGGAGAAGGGGGTGAAGCGGGCCAACCAGCTACGGAACCGGGCTCGGGCCCGGGTAGCGGTGGTAGAGCGGGAGCGAGCAGGGACGCGCGCACGCACGAGCGGATCGACGCCTCGACGCCCCGGAGCAGCACTGGGTGACGTACCAGTGCTGACGGGCGGAGGCGGTTCCGTGCTCGGACGCGTGCTGCGCGTCCACTCCGGCTCGGCTCCGACTAAACGCGCCCGAAGAGCGAAGGCGACGTTTAGAATAAGCTGGGTGCACTCACCTTGGCAGTCGGTTGAGGACAAGCCCGTGCTTGTCCCCTTCCGCCGCCGTCGGTCCGCTCCATATTTAATATACAAAACAATCTATCATAACACTACAGTACCGAGGTACTGTAGTGGGCTACTGTAGTGCAGGTCGGCCTGCACTGTAATACTGTCAGCTATGTCGAGGCTGACAGTACACGTATTACTCGTGGTGCGTGCGCGCCTCGCTCGCGCGCTGTACACGTGTGCACGTGTATGCGCGTGTCCCTTGTCCCCGTGGTGTACACGTGGACACGCGCGGTTGTATTGTAGAGCTCGACGCTCTACAGTAGCTGATCTAGTTCTTGATCTAATCTAATTTAAAGCCCCAGAGGGGGGGGTTATGCTACACGGCCCCCCCCTCAAAACTGAACGTCCGCGTTCAGCACTCTCGGGCTTGTAGAGGCGACCATGTCTGAGGGCTCTTTCGCTGGTCTGGAGGTGGATGCACGTCGTCCCGACCCCCTTCTCTTATCGTACCGCCGTTCTCGCTCCCCGTGTTTGTGCGTGGGCTCTCTCTTCTTTTCCCCAACCCATCCGAGCGACGCTCACTCAGTGCTCGCGTCGACGTTGCTTCCGTCGGACCATCTTCTCTCTTCCTCGCGGTTCGTGCCGCGATCGTACCGTCGTCTTTCGTCGGTTGTCTCGGGGCGCTGGTCATGGTGTCTCCGTCTGAGGGTCGCGTTGCCTCGCTTGCCGGTCCTTCCCCTGCGCCGGTCGTCGTGGCTTCCACGGGGGGTGCCCCGGGTCGTCCCGGGGATGTCATGCCCCCGTGGACTCTTCCCCAACCGTTCCAAAGAGCCCGCGGTTCGCGTGGGTCGACGACGTCCGTCGAACTAATTCCCACCCTCCACGCCCCGGTGGTGGTCAGCGAGATCATCCCCGCCACTGGCTCTGTAGGGCAGCGCGTCGTCGTACCCGTCCGGCCTCCGTCGCCGACTTGTGAGGGGGAAGGCGACCGCGGTTCCGGTGTTCGGCCTGAGACGGCTCAAGCCATGGTGACATCGGGCAGGGAGGGGGACGTCGATACCCATGAGTGGTTCGGGGTCCCGCTCGAGCGGTCTACCCCTCTCCCCCTTGATCGCCTGAGATTCTCCTGGTGTCGACACGCGCGGACCAGCATCAGCGTGGGTGAGTTGTTGTCGCGTGAGCATCTTCGTCCTGATTTGTCCCGGGTGCGTAAAGTGTACGAAGCGGGGCGCGAGGAAGAAGCTTCCTTAGTGCTGGGTCGGCTCCTGGCGGAGGGTGGCGGGTCAGCGTATCAAATTCCCGCCGCGGTGGCGTCCGACCGTACGTTCGCGTACAGTTTGAGCGAGGTGGAGTATGTCGACAGAATGGCCGCGTATCTGTTCCACCGGGAGCAGTCGAGTCCTCGTGAATTCGTCTTGTCCCACGTCCCGGGGCTCTACGTAAGCCCGCGCCCCTTTGCCTATTCGAGGGCTCGGGTCGCCCTCCAAAAGTCGGCATGTTCGCTCATGCGTTTGCACGGTGTGTGGATCGCGCCCCACGACTGGGCGGCTTATCGCCACTCAGGGGAGGAGGATGGTCGCGTATTTCGTTCGGCGTCTTTCGAAGGAGGCCTATCTCCACGGGATTTCCCCAGTCTCCCCGCTGTGGTAAGGGAGACCTTCCCTTCGCTGGGAGTCCATCCCTTGCTACCCTATGTTCTAAAGCACTTCGGAGTTGCTTGCTCAGATCCGTCGCATCCCGCTTCTGCCGACCTCGTGTATAACGTCGAGAGGGAGTGGGCTTGGGCACTCGGAAATGCGTTCATGAACGAGGTCTCTATTCACGGGCGCGTGTTCGTTCAACCTATCGAAGTGTTTGCTTACTTGGGGAGGGTAGCGTGGGACCTCCCCAGCGTACCCTTACACCCGCTCGAGCAGTGTACGCGGCATGTGCCATGGACGTATTCGTTCGCCCTCGGGCTCATGCATCGTGCTAGCGAGGTGGGCGATCGCCACCTGCGCTATTGGAATGACTTCACCACCGGTAGCCAGTCCTCCTTTCTGGTATACGACCGCCAAGGCGACGCATTTGTGGCGCGGTCGACGGGCGTCGGGTCTTCTCCTAGCCGCCCCGCGGGCGGGGGCGGAGTCGGCTCCGCCTCGCGCGAAGCGCGAAAGAAACGATACCGGGACCTCAACAACGAGCCCACCGCATATCAATTCGCACGTGCGGACCCGTCCGGTGACCCTACTGTCGTCGAAAGCGGCTTCCGTCCGACCGCGTGCCTTGCGGTCCCCCCTGTCCCGCCCCTCAACTCGATGCCGCCACGGGAGGCGCCACCGGTGATGTCTGTGCGTCACGGAACGCTGAAGCGGGAAGACATCAGGGCCGTCCCTGTACTCTCCCACGCCTTGGGTCAGTCCGCTGACCGCGCATGGAAAGTGGACGGTCTACTCAGCACACTCGCGAGCTGGTACTTGTCACGGAGCGACGAAGCACGGCGCCTCGAGGCGGCTCGTGCGTCCTCCGTATACGAGCTGCAACACGTACGTAGCGAGTTGGAAGCATTACGCGCGTCCTCGGATCGTCGGGCGGCCGTGTTGGAGCAGACGACTGCCGAACGTGACCGGTATCGTCGTGAGCGGGACGCTCTCCGAAGCCTTCGAATGGCGCCTTCGTCTGCTCCGCGTTCAATGCGGGACCCTTACGAGAGCTCGGGGTGCGAAGCGCCCTCATCGGACGCCGTTGCTGCCCCTGAGGGCGACGTGCACCGCTGGACCCGCCACAGTGCAGTGGCGATGCCTCCCTTGGGGGGGTCAAGCACGACAGTGCCACATCACCCCGGCTACTGTCCGCCGGGGCTCTACGGTCCGCGCCCGGAGGCGTCGTCCGGCGGCGTCGACCACTGAGCGGGGTCCCGATATGTCCGCGGGGGCCAGGTCGTCCTGTCACCTTCCTGCGTAAAAACCAAATTCGTCTCTTGGCCTTGGCCCGGGGTGCTTCGTACCCCCTTCGTTCCCCTCTTCCATGCTTACGCTCAACTGTGTTCTGTACATCCCCCCTCCTTTTTTTTTCTTTTTCTCTTACGACAGGGTCGTTCGCGGCGTGTCGATACCCCCGCCTCGCGCTAAGTCGGTCGGGGTCTCGTCCAGGGCGCGTCCCTCTGAATGCGTCGTCTCTTGTGCGTGGTATTCGCTGATGCTTTTTGACAGTCCGTACCTGTCAGGTTCGCGGTATTTTTCGGCGCGTTCATTCTCCCGTCCTCGAAACGGGTCCGGTCGTGCGCGATGCCGGTCTTGCCACTGACGCGTCGTGGTTTTCTTCCCGAGCTCGTCGTCGGGCTCGGCTGAGTACAGTAGCCGTCGTTGTCGCTCATGGTCAAGCGAGCAGGGCTAGCGGGGTGACAATCCGAATTGTCGGCGTGGCTCGGAAGGTGAGAACTTGTTGTTCGCTTTCGTGAGCCACGTCCGCTTTCGGGTGTGACCGTACGCGCGAATTTGTGTACTGTTACGGGAAGACGAGAGTACGAGCGCCCCGCTCTCCGCCCTTCGGCCGTCGGTCGGGTGCATGTCCGACCGGAGTCCGCCTCGCTTGGCTCTTCGTAGACACTACCGGGACGTCCCCGCTCGTCCTTATTGCACGTCCACTGCAGGCGTGCTGCGTACCTCAATCCCAGCGCGACGTCTTCCTCGCACTGTAGTCTCCCGCCGCTCCGAGATCGGACGAGCGAGCAGGGGTGAGGAAGCAAATCTTCGGCGTGTGGGAGAATGGGGGGGGGGAGTCGTCTCCTCCCTCTTCACCCGAGCTACGCGTCCGTGCCGCCCCGCCGGTGGGAAGGCGGGGAGGCCAGTTCGAGGGATCATTCGATTGATCCGCGCGGGCAGGAGGGTCTGAGCACGTCGCTGCTCCTCATAACCCGCGTCCGCCTTCGCGCGTGAGCGCACGCGCGGCGGTGTGTGCTCCCACGGCGAAAGGGAAGTCCAAACGCCTGGACTCTCGTGGATGCCAGCAAAACTTCTCCGCTCTCCCTTCCTGTCCGCCCGTCACCGCCGTACCCAGTAAAGTATGCAGATGTATATGGGATGTTTATTTGATGTCTATTAGATATTTTTGGATATATTTTGGATGGGTCCTGGATGTGTAGGAGATGCTGATCGGGTGACGGCCTGATACGTGTTTTAGGGACTGGATGTCTAAAGGATGCCTGAAAGATGATTAAATGCTGATTGGATGTTTTAAAGATTACTTTTAGATATTTATAGCATGAGGGCCACCACAAACTGCGTAGCTTTAAAGCATCTAAGGGAGGTCAGAGCATATTTGAGGCATCCATGAACCGCAGCAAGCCCTACCGCTCCAAGCCTCAATTGCTAGTCGCGGCCTCTGCGATCACCCGCGCCTGTGGCTCGGCGGATCCCTCACGAATTACAGTTCTGCACCAGCTCGGCGACGCCCTGCATGCATTCGAGGAGTCGCAGTTCGTAGTCAACGAGATCAAGCCCAGCACTTTTACCTACACCGTGCGCGACCGAACCTCTGCGACCACCGGCGGCCAGCTCGATGCCGACACCCGCGTCCGTTTCTAGCACGAACAAGGTGCGCGTGTCATCTTTTCAGCTGTTGCCAGTGCCCTCATCAAGCTGCCGACCAGGATTGGTCCTCTTCGTCGTCGCGCCGTCGACTTGCTCATGGCCACGGGGAGCGCCACAGGCTCACCGCCTACTATCTATATCACTGCAGACTACCAACCTCCAGACACCCTCCGCCCGAACCCGCCACCGACCTACACCGCTCGTCCCCAACATAATATTTGATGATAATGCATCATCGATGCCATCGCCTCCGCGGGCTCCCTCTGTTCGACAGTAGCATTCCCATGACGACATGCTTGTCTTTCAGAAAACATAATGGCTCGTCGCAACGTCAAACTCAACGCACCCCTTCCCCCCGCTTCGGACCATGTCTTCCGGCTTGAGCAACACGCTGCGCCCATACCAATCGCAGTACAAATCCAGATCCTCCTCGCTGCCTCGTGCCTTCCAGTTGTAGCGCGCCAGTCGCCCGTACTTGTCGGCAGCCGAGGGACCCTTCGACGAAAGACCTGAGTCAGAGTCCCTGTTGACCAGAATTTCAACCACACGTGTGCTTTCCAGCTGCTTGGCATTTGTTTTGAGCTGCGCCGCGTTGCATGTCCGCTTGCTTCCCTCCAACGTTTCAAATTCTAAGGGGGAGCTTTCGCCGATCCACCTGGACAACAACCGGTGCCCCCCTCCGACGACGAGTTTTCGCACGCGCTCTATCTCTGCTGTCATCGATGCCGAGTCGATGACAGCAGAGGGTTGATCTTCATGTGTCCGGGCGTGCTAATCGGCTTGGATGTAGTACGTTTCCCAGAACTCTCAGACGTCACATTTCCCGATGGGGATCCTTCGGAGCATCTTCCGATTTTTTTATTTTTCAAAGCTTCCATCTTTAACAGAAGAAGCTTTCGTTGATCCAAGGGCACGACTTTAGGATTAGCTGCCACTCCAGCTTTGTTATTTGGATTCGCAGCTGTAGGGTTCGGTTTTGGTGCAGCGGCCGCCGTCTTCTGTTGTAGGGTTGGCTCTTGAAACCTTGCCGTCTTCGGCCGGGGTTTCTCTTTCACTACATCCATGATGTACATCATACATGCGTCATAAAACACATCAAAAGTATGTTTTTGTAGATGGATGAAGGAAGCATTTTGCCACATCGCTACCTTTTTCCTGTCCAGACGGACCCCAAACCGTGACCGAAAACACGAATGGTTCGTTCACCACCTTTTTGATTCATCCCGTCTACCATCATATCAGGATCTTCTTCTGAAATCTTGTCTCCTTCCTCATGTTCCTCTGACATTGTGTCGTCATCCGGGCCGGGTGCAGCGGGAGAAGAGGGCGTTGCGGGGCTTTCTTGCATGTCCTCGTGCTTCTCGTCTTTGTGCGCGTTGTCATCGAACCCTTCACTCCGTTGCTTTGCAGTTTCGTCCTCTGAAATCTCAACTGTCACTTCCAATTCCCTTTCTGGGGCGTCATCCTCATGTGCTTCCTTTTCAACTCCCGAATCCATCGCAATTCCCGGTACTGCTTTTGCTTCGATAATTGTGCCTATCTCTGCCTTCGATTTTTCTTCTGCGATGTCGTCCTCACGTGCTTCTTTCGCGGCGCCGTCATCAGCTGCAATTCTTAACAGACGCTTTTCTTTTGCGCCGGTATCCACGGCGGTCTTTGCGAGTCCATCAACGGAATCAGATTGAACAGCGGTTTCCACTTCAAATGCAGCTTGTACCGCCGCTTGATTACTGAAGAGATTGCTCTGTGTATCATTATCTGCCTCAGCCTCAGCCTCATCCGCCTTTTCTGCTGTCTGTCCAACGCCTCCCTTGGAATCAACTCTAGCTCCCTTGTCCCCGGGGTGGGCGGTGGCTTCTGCAGCGTCTTCGCCCTCGCCGCTAGCCTTGTCTGCCTCATGCTCGTCAATATCAACCTCCCCTTCAGCCACATCCGCGGCGTCCGCATACGAGCTAGCGGCGTCATCCTCGCCATGGCCCCCATCTGACGGGGTGTGCAAGCCGTCCTCATGCTCTTCGGCATCCTCGTGCTCACTGTCCTCCTCGTGCACCTCCTCTTCCACCTCGGAGTGCTCCTCCACATCCCCCATGTCGCGTCTCTTCGTCTGTGGGGTTCCTTCGACACTTTCCGTCAAATCAATTGTATCTCCTTTCTTCCCATCCTCATGTTCACTCGCGCTGTTCGCGTCGTCTTCATCGACGTCTTCATCGACAACGTCGGCCACGTCATCGTCGTCGGCCTCGTCGAAGCTATCCTCCGTCCCGTCGACATCGATGGGGTCCTCCTTGCCCGGGATCGCGTCGGGGTCGCGATCGACGTCCGGAACGCGATGTGGCCCCGAGAGCGGCTGGGATGCGTGCGTGTGATCCGGGTCGGAGACGACGTCGACGTCGAGGGGGGCGCCACGGTCGAGCGAGACGTCTGCAGACACGCCCTTTACGTTGGAGACGACTTCCGGCGGGTGGAAGGATGCGGCTGTGATGGGAGTGATCGCGGGGTCCTCGGACGTATCCGCGTGGACATGAGGTGGTTCTTATGCCACGAGGCTTTCGGTCCCAGTCGATTGCTCAACGTTGCCCTGCTCTGCGGCATCGGGCGGCGAGGCTTCTTGGTCGGGGACGGCTGCCTGTTCTGGCATGGCGTGAGGGGGTGGGAGACGGGAGCCGTGACTGTTGCGGTTTGAGAGGACGGGGGTTCCCAAAGGGAGTCTCTTGATCCATCCAAAAAAACATCAAAAACGGGGGAAATTTGAGAAGCGCAAAAGGACGTTTGAAGGCAGGACAGCTCGGATACGTCTACGCATGTCCGACCCGATCACGTCTCCCAACTAAGGAGCGTGCCTGCGTGAGCTGTTCCTCTGCCAACGCATTCTAGCCAAATGTCATGAACAATGCAAGATGCGCGGGCACTAACAAATTACCCCAGTGCCCGCAAGCTTTCTGTTTCATTCATTGCAGAAGGGCTTTTACGAATGCGCGTGGCTACCCACTTAAGCAGCAAGACTCTCCACTATCTACTCGACAAACTTCCTCCCTCAGCACTCCCGCAACCTCCTTAACAACGTCTTCCTCCCCCATCCTCCCACACAGCACACACTCGAGCAGTCTCCGCGCCACGCTCGCGAATAATCTCTTCTTCCGTGCGCCCTCATGCAACGGGATCAAGCTCGTGAACAAGCTACACACAACCAGCACGACGTCTCCCCAATCCACGCCGTACGAATCTTCCACATACCTCCTGACGACGCCCTGCGCCCTCCTCCACCTGGCCTCGACAAAAGCGTCGATGGGGACGGCGGCAAGGATGTGGTCGTATCCGGAGAGGCTCTGCACGACCTTTGCGACATCGTACACGGCGTCTCCGGCGAGCATGAGGGCATCTCCCTGTGCGCCCCGCATGTCGATGAGGGCGATGCCGCCGTGCACGCGGGCGAGGGCGTTAGTGGGGACGGGGTCGCCATGGATGACGCGGGCAATCAACCGATCAGTTCTTTATTCATGAAGAAGAGGAGTTATTTGCCGCGACCCATAGTCATACAAAATGAATGACTGCGTAATGTACCATTCTACTTCTTGGTATGACGACGAGGGCGTTTGAATGATGTCGTCGCCAGAGGTGCATTTCCTTTGTTATTTCGTTTGCGTTTATTACGCTCTCGGACCGACGGCTGGACGTCCTGGAGATTATCGCCTCCATCCTCAAAAACCCCTTGACCAAGATCACCGTTTTCACGACACCCAAGGATCAACCCCGGAAGTCGGTTGTGGACACGTCTTGCGTTTTTACCCTTTGTGTTCGCTGTAGGGTGATGTACTTTAAGATGTGAGTCTTCGTCGAAATGTCTATCACGGGATGTTCCTCGACCTGCCTTAACACGTTCACCATCATGGACCCGACTTCTTGAAGCATCTTCATGATGAATGTCATCACTATCAGTTCCTTGCTCGAATTCTGTACTCCGTTGAACTCGGTCACCATGAGAATCACCTGGCACTGGTTCAGTCCTTAAGATGCGACGGTGGTCGTCGTCGCACTGCTGTGGACTCATGTTTCCTTGCTCCCTCTCACCGCCACACGAATCTGATGGCATTTTTGATTTCTTCTTCCCGTAGATTTTGTCACGACGCAGAACCTCTTGGATTATTGCATCGGCGGCCCACTGATTATGGGCAAGCTTCAGGTCTGGAATGCGCTTCTCGAGATTGTTTCGGAGCGTCGCCAAAGTCCCGGCGTGCTCATACTTTAGATCCTTGTAAGAAAACTTCCCCTTGGGTAACTCCATACCGAACTTTCCGCTCCCATACAACACAAGACGAACCCGTTTGAAAGCACCACGGATCGTCGAATCTGACAAAAGCTGGAAATCGTCACCGCTTTTCTCCATGTAAGAGAGGTATGCGTTGTTGAACACCTCACGTATGGGTCGCTGCGACCCGATTGTTCCATTTTTCCCCACGCGACGCGCTTCTCTCCTGGATGGTTCCATGAGACATCCGTCTTCCTCTTTGGGTCCCTCCATTCTACTAAGAAAAAACAGCAGAATCGAAGTTATGAATTTACTTCACATGAATGATGACAGGAATGAAGGCAAGAAATCTGGATAAGCTGCTGTGGAGAAAGTATTTATGAAGTGTTTCGTTTCACTCGAAACGAAAGAAAAGCGCCCTCAATGGCATTTCCCGCTTTGATGAGGGATCAAAATTTGTTTCGTTTGGTTCTCATTATTCAGAATTCTCTACCCCAAATTATAGCCAATGCGTCTTCCCAAGTCCACAGTAGCTGTCATTTCGCCACCCTCCTTCCCCCTAACACGTAAGCCTTGTCTGTATTATGAATGAAAACGATTTTACCGACCACTCGCCGAGAAGGTATCTCAAACGTAGACGGGAACAAGTGCTTGGCATCATTCGGACGCGCGGCGAATTGTATGTACGTTCCCGAAAAAGGAGATTGAAAGAGTGGAAACATGAGAAAGCTTCAATAGACGAAACTTCCTCACAGTCGAGTTTTGCACCACACTTTTCCGTGAATGAGAGCAGCACAGGAGAGATTGACGAATGGGCTGAAGAGGTATGCGTGGAGGAGTATTCGCCAAGTGACGAAGACTCGTCTGAGTGGATGATCAGTGAAGTGCCCGAAAGACAAATTGACAGGTACGATGAACTGCCGCTGTCTGAGATGGAGACGTCATCCCATGACTCAGAAAGCACCCGAACCGAACGTTTAGCTGATACAAATTGGAATTTAAAGGAGTCTGAATCCAAGAGAATTTTGGAACTTCTTCATGTTCTGGAATTGGGCCAAGCTTCTACCCGATGTATACGAAGTGCTTTGCAGACGTCAATTGTAAGGTCACGGTTCTCATATGACGTGCTTATGAGACATATCAATAGAAGAGCGGATGTGCCTAAGCACCACGTCCCAATGTGTCCACGCGGACATTTCGCTGCGACTGGGTCTCAGTCTCGTAGAAATACATGTCCAAATGCCGATTGCAGACAGAGAATCGGATCAGCACGATTCTGGACGAGCAACGTCTCTGACCAACTAAAAGCTCTCTGCCGCGAGGAATATTCTTTCCTTCAGTTTCAGAAAGGATGTCAGGAAGCCCATTTAGCAATGAGTTCAGAACCGGTCGACATTTTTTCTGACTACTACGACGGCGCCTTGTTTCGCCGAATGTTTCGTAAGCGCTTAGGCACGTGGGATCCAGACGGTGAACTCTATGTTTTCATGGTCATGTCCACAGATGGTTTCGAACTTTATGGTACAAGTGAAGGAAAAAGAACCTGTTGGCCTATCATCTTCAAGCTTCTGAATCTGGACTTCTCACATCGCGGCCAGGCTGCAAATGCTCTCGTCACCGGTTTTATTCCTGGTTCACATAACCCTGAGTTTTTCGAGAGCTTTTTAGTCTCAATTGTGGACGACCTCGTGAACCTGGAAAAAGGAATGGATGTAAAGTGTTGGGACGGCAGAACCCGGAAGCTCTTCGCATTCGTCCTTTTTATCACTGCGGACTTCCCCGCCGCAAGCAAGCTTTTCGGTTTTATGGGACACAGAGCAAAACTTTTCTGCCGGAATTGCCACAAAAAAGCCGTCTTTGTATGCGGCTCTCTGTACGCTGTCCCTGTCGGATCGGAGAGGTGCAGGAAAGAAGCTGTTGGAGGGAATGACATATGGGAAGATCAGTGTTGGATAGAATTAGAATGCCCAGAACGGAGAACCTCTTCTGAAACGGCGTCCGTCTGGCGACAGAAAGACACGGTTCCGCGAGCTACGGGGATCAAGAAAAGACCCCTGATCGCGCGCCTTTCGTTGGATTTCGTTTTTTCCTTTCCGTATGATCCTATGCATCTCTGTTTGTTGGGTTGGGTTCGGCACTTGGTGTTTCTGGTTATTGGCTCCCATAAGCGCCATCAAGATTTGCACACGTCCTACATTTTGACCACAAGTGAGATTGCTCTCGTTAATGTTGCACTGTCTCGCAACCACAGAGGAATTCCGCAATTTTGGGGCCGTCCACCAACAAGCTTGGGAAATCTTAACCATTTTCGAGCTGAAGATTTCAAAAACTTTGGACTTTACTTCGCCTCCATTGTGTGGCATTCAGCGGCGTTGGACAGAAGACAGCAGACATTGTGGCTTCTAACTTCCAAGATGCTGACAATCGTTCAAGATGCGTCGCCGCGGAGAACGGATTCGATTCAGCTTCGCAAAATTGTACAGAAACTGCATGCACTCTTCACAACTGTGTTCCATGAAAGCAAGCGGCATTCATTTTGTTTCACCCCCACCACTCATGCCATACTACACCTCCCGGAAATTTTGAGAGAATGCGGTCCATTGCGAAATGTCTCGCAGTTCTTCATGGAGCGCTTTGTTGGGGAGATGGGGGGAAGAGCAAAGTCACGTAAGCATCCAGAGACGAACTTGTTCCGCAAAAGCCATACCCTTCTGTGCTTGAAGTTGCTGTCTGGTGGAATCCATCAGGGTCGAACTCCAAACGGACCAGTCTCCTCTTTCTTCGAGACGCGAGCCAGTCATGCGGGTGTGGAGACAAAAAGTGCTGGTCGTCGCGACCAGGCCTTGGCGTTCTTCCGGGCAAACATGGAGGAGTTTTATGCGCACTGCAGGCTAGGTGGACTAAGGCTTCACAGTAAAGTGAAACTTTTACGGGAAGACGGCGAGTTCACGATTGAAACAGCTACAGAGTTTCGTCGCCGGGAGAGAGACGGAACCGCAAGACAAAAATTTTGCGTCGTTGGGCTGTTTCAATCGGAGAATGAAAGCACTGATTCGAGCACACATTGTGAAAGCCCGGTACAGGCCTTTTTCGGATACGTTGACGAGATTTGGGAAGTTGCAGTATTCGTAGATGAGTCAAACATAACTGAAACTTTTTTCCTCGTGCGCGTCGATTGGGAATATGATATCATAAGGGATGAGAAGATGGAACTGCTATATAAGAATGGGCACTCGAGACGCGGGAAACTGCGAACTTTGGAAACATGCGCTTGCATCGACAGGCTGTTTGGGTTTATGGATATTGGTGACCGCACGTACTTTGTTGATCGCAAATCAAGCTACTACTTTCGAGACATACCAAAGCAAGATTTGATGGGAATCAGGAGAATCGTTAAGTAGAAAAGGGGTCATTTCCAGTTTCAGTTGTCGTTGTGG